CCTATTAATCTTTACATAACAACTTCTGTCATATAATTCTTCCTTACACTCCCTGGAGGTCATTGCTACAGCAAATAATTTCTCATCCATCTTTAAGCTTTCCTATTTCATTGGCTACTCTCATCTGCCTATAAACGTACTTGGTTCTACTTGGTCCTAAAAACACAATCCCTCAAATATTCCTAATGAAAAAACATTCTCTTTCCTCTCCAGTTCCAAACATATATTTTAGGCTTCAATTTTCTCATTACCTTTTTCATCAAACCTCTTTCAATTTGATTTCTGTACCTATCACTCCATTGAAACAAAACTCTCCACAGTCACCAGTGACAACCTAATTGTTAAATCTAATATTCTTAAAATCCTCATCCTCCTTGACTCTTCTACATTTGGTGTAGTTGACCAGCTCCCTCTTTCAGATACTGTCTCGTTCATTTTCTTTAGAGACTAATGGTTTCTCCTGAGGTTCTTCCTACTTCTCTAATCAGTCCCTCAGTAGTGCTGATTCTTCATACTCTGACTCCAGTCTTTAAGGTGAATGTTTCTTTAGCATTCTGTCTTGGGCCTCTTCTTTTCTTTCTCTACACTCTGCCTTTTGCTATTTTCATTTACTGGCTTAATTCTAACCAGCACCTCTATGCAGATACTTTGCAAATCTATGTCTCTAATAGTTTACATGATATCTCCGCTTGGATATTCTTCTAGCACCTCAAATTCAACATGATAAAAAAAAACAAGCCATCTTTCCCTTCTTTTGAACCCTACCATTTCTATTAGTCTACTATTCAACTTTACCTCAACTTTTGCATTAGAAACTTTGATGTTATCTTTTATTCTTATTTTCCCCTTACTTCTCATAGCCATTCACTTAACATGCTTCTGAGGTAGCTTTCAAATAAATTTGCATCTTTCTATTTTCAATGCCATCATTCAATAATAGCCCTTATGGTCGCTTGACTAGATAACCATAATGGGTTCCTAGCAGGAGTACACAAAACACTGGATTTGGTATTAGGGGATGGAGGTTCAGATCCATGCTCTACCATTGAACCAACTGAATGACCTTGATCAAGCCACTGAACCTCTTTGAATTGCAGTTACCTCATCTGTAAAATGAAGCTGTTGAACCAAATGATCTCTTATAGTTCCAAATCATGTAACTTGGGTCTACCCACCTTTGCTGCCTTCTTTCTTCTAGTTCATCTTTCACATAGCTTCCAGACTTCAAAACACTCTATAATCTGACATTACCCTATCTTTGCATCTTTATCTTATAATATTCTCCTCATACTGTTTGCTCTAGCCAAACCTGGCTCTTCACCATGCACCTTACATGTTCTGTTTCTTTCTGCCTGAAATTTTTCATCATGTTCCCTACACCTGGTATGTCCCTTGCCTATCTTTTATCTCCATACAGGTTGAATTTCTGCATGTCCTTTAATGTTCGAATGCCACTTTTTCCAGAAAGCCTCCTTGATTCCCTCGGTCCTCAATGATTTCCTATTCTCCCCTCCCCTCAGTCCTCACTTTGTACCCTTTTAGGCACATATGTTATTTTGTATTATTGTTTTTGTTTGTGCCATACCCTACTTCTAGATGGTAGTATCTTTGAGGCAGGGACCACATTTTAACTGAACTTTGTCTGTCCTGTCCAATGCGTGTTGTTGTTAGTCCTTCATTCTTGAAGAGGACCATGACATCAGGAAGGTGATGCCATGATGTGCAAGTGAATTGGATTTAAGTGAGGGAGGGCTGTGCAAAATCGCCAGCCTTACTTTCTCCTCTGGAGCCATCTGGGCTCAGTGGCAAGGTATGGACTCGGATGACTAGAGATGGCCCCCATGTCTAATGTCTATTCTTCTCTCAGAAGATGCTTAATATTTGTTGAATAGAATTGAATGGAAATTTGGACAGGATCTGATTTTGCTTATTAACTAAAAAAAAGTTATGATGGAATAATTGCTCCAAAAATCTTGATTACCGAACTACTTTCCAGCTACATAAATAGCCACAGTATAGTGAATCTCATTAATTTACCTCCAGGAGGGGGAGCCATTTAAATGTAATACTATAATAATTTAGCAATTTTGGTCTCTTCCTAAAATTAGAAAAATTATATTCAGAACAACCTTTAAGTACAATACTGAATATAATTCCTTGTCCCACTTCCCTGTTGAGCACTTATGCATTAATGTGGATTTTATTTTTAATGAATGTACTCCATTGGATAATTCTGAATTGTTGTTGAGCTCTGAATGAGTTCCCTACTTTCCTTACACCTCTGCAAACAGCTTTGTTGTATAACATGCATTGTTAGAAAATATCAAATATCTGCTTTCATATAAGGATGACACCCACCTGGATTATGTTGGCTCAAGAAGGCAGAATTAGGAACCATGAATGGACAAAGACACCACGTTAGGCTTAAAGTAAGGATAAACTTCCTAACAATTAAAACAATTCCAAAGCAATGGGTTGCCTTACTGGAGGGCTTTAGGGAAAAGCTGGATGACCACTTGTTAAGTATGTTATAGTGGGAGTTCTTTTTTCAAATATGTTTTGGATGAAATGGTCAATTCTGAAGTTATGTGATTCTGTGATTTCATTTTCAGACTGCTTATACAGTATTTAGAATGTTCTCTTAATTAGTATTTATATTTTCATTTATAAATTTATAAAATTTGCCCTAGTCATACTTTTCTGTGAATATGAAGGCTCTCATTCTTAAATATCAAATTTTCATGTGAAATGTATAAGAAAATACTCTTATAACCCACTTTGAATGCCTGTAACTTGTACTTACAAGAGATGAAAGGAGAGAATTCATACTTATATTTCCCAATTAGGGATTGGAGTAGATGAACTTTAAAGACTATTTCACATCTAAATTCTGATTTTTTTCCTATGATGGTTTTAATTTAACCTGTTCAGTGACCCAAGTACATTTTCTTAAGACCATGATTCTATGGCAGTAGAAAGTTGGTTGAGTTGCAAATTTACCAAATAGGCATGTGATAACAGATGTTATTGTGTTTAAAGGGCCTTGAGATTGCTGTACAGATTAATGGTAGGTAGAAACACATGGCTAAGAAAGTAAAAGGAATAAATAAATCTGGTTCAAAATAATTTTTCTTTGTGTTAGCACATACTTTCTTTACAGTTACTAGTAGAAAAAGGGTTATGAAAAGATTCTTAATATATCATCTACAAAAGTGTCAGATATCTAATATAACTCTTACTATAGATGGTATAAGAAGTACTAAGAATATAATAGTTAATTTTACTATTTTATATGTTGGCAGTTTGAAAGATTTTAAAAAATGAGAGTGGGAAATGTGATGTGATAGAAAGAGAATAAGCTTTGTCTCTTAAATAATTTCCTCCTCAAATCTAATTTTATAGTTACATACATAGATCTATTTGTCTCTCTTTCTTTCTATTTGTTTATATATAAAATATATATGTATATGTGCACGTATGTATACATACATACATGTATATGATTTGTTTACTGGATTTGGAGTTAATTGGTATAGGAGAATTCCTGTAAGGAAACAACCTTTACCAATGCTAATTGGCACCTGGTCTAAAATTTATGGTCTTAGATAGGATTGCCTGGTTAAATGAGAGATTAGATGTTTTGCCCAGGAATGCCCTCTTCCCAGAGCCAAAGTGTTTTAGAGGCAGGGCTTGAACCCAGGTGTTGATTCCAATATCACTTCTCTGTTCTCTATAGAGGCTGCTTATTTGATCTTTGTAAGAAGTAATTTTTGTCTTTTGTTTTGATTGAAATGATCAAATCACAGATATGTCAGTGCAAGACTGAAAGAAACTAGCTACTCTTGCATAGAAAGGGACCCTTGTCCAAGTGTGAGGGTTAGGGGTCCCAGAATTGGAATTATGAATGGGGATAGAGAAGAAATTTCTGCAACTAAATAGGTGAGGATAGGTGTATGGAACATTTTCAAAATTTCCTCTGAAAAGTGACAAAAAACAATTTGATTAAACATATAAATAACTTCCCACTGAACAGGAAGAAAGAGGATAAAGAATGGGAGAAGAAAGAGAAAAAGGAGTACAGGGTGGAATGAATTGTAGAACATTTTGAGCGACCACTGGTCATGAAGCCCATACAATTCAGGATTGTACTAATTAATGTGACACATTAGAATGATATATTAAAAAGCTTGAGTTGGTGACAGGAATGGAGAAATACTCCTAAATAGTGGTAGTGATGCTAATTTTAATCCTCAAGGCCTTGTACCCTATAAGGCCACTCAGATAATGTGGTTCTTATTTTCACACTAAGGAGCCTTAGATGACCCTATAGATTGTATGGATGAAGGCTTGTGAGTATAGGAATATTCCATTTTACCTGTATGGGGCAATAGATAGCTTGGCATGATTTGACAGCTAAGTGGAGCCCCTGCTATATTTCCAAACCATTTGTAGAGTTGCTTGTGTCTTCCCAAAGTAAGCGTGGGAACCAAAGGTCCCTTGTTGGCCATAGTTTAGAATACCTAAAACTAAAGTTTAAGTTTATATGACAGGTAAAAAAATATTCTTGTGAAAATGAATGTGTTCCTTTCTAAACCTATGTCTAGGGTTCCCTCTCAGTACCCTTTGTAAAGTCAGTCAGATAACATGTATTGAACATATGGCTTGTATTCAAGAAGACCCGAGTTCAAATCCTGATTCAGAAACTTGAGGCAAGTCACTCAACCTTTTTTAGCATCAATTTCCTTATCAGTAAAATGAGGGGATTGGATTGGTTTTTAAGTTCCCTTCAAGCTATAAATCTGTGATCCTAAGGAAATGCATGGCTACATCTCCTTATCACTAGCTTTGTACCTAATTACTGGGATTGCTACTGCTAATTCTGTGTATTATAGTTTTTCCCACATTGATAATAATATATATGCTGAAAAACTAAGAATAAAAGCCTCAAGTAATTTGCTGGAGATAGAAAATTCTAATTTTTCTTTTTTTTTCCCTCAAAGATTACCCCGAAGGCAATAATTCAAGTGATTATCTTGCTCAAACATCAATGTATCTTCCAGAAAACTTCACATATTCTCCTTACCATCCATGCCCAGAAAAGCTGCCTTACATGAGTAAGTGAAACTTAATGTTAATTCAATGAAATGTTTATTTGTGCTACAATTCATCCTACAATGGAGCCATCATCTCATTGATGTAGGAATTTCCTCCATTCGTGAAAATTATAACCCATTCATGCCTTCACATTCTCTATAATTCTTGTCCATGTTCTTCCATAGATCCTTCATAAAGGCTCTGGAAGGGACCAGTAGAGGTCCTTTCATTTTATAGAGTAGGAAACCAAGATGAAGTTGGAATAAGTGACTTGATCAAGGTCTCATGGATAGTAAGTGGCAGAACTGAAATTTGAACCTAGATCCTACTACTCCAAATCCTGTGCTCTTTCTGTTGTATTGCATTGAGGCCTTCTAGGTGTTTTTTCTCCTTTTTCACATTTCACGGACTCCATTATAATAATGGCACTAAGACTATCCTTTTTTGTTCCTTTATTTCCTCAGTCATATCCCTTATGCTACTTCTTACACATAAGTCATTATTGAAAATATGCTGCAAATTATTTGTGCCCACCATGCATCTCTTCATTGCCCTTTGGGCCAGTCAACCTACAACTTTCATCACTAAGATAACAATGATGATGATGATGATGATGATGATGATAGCTAGCTTTACTATTGTGCTTTAAGATTCAAAAAACACTTTACACACAACTCTGTAAGGTAGGTGCTATTTTTGCACATATTTTTACAGATGAGGAAACTGAGGCTAAGAAATATTAAGGGACTTGCCCAGGGTCACAGAGCTAAGTAAGTATCTGAGGTGGAATTTGAATTCAGGTCTTCCTGCCTCAAAGTCCAATGCTCCATTTACCTCATCACTCAGCTGAACTACAGATTATGATGTTCTAAAAGTCTCAACTATATAGTATTGCCAGCAGAATATTATTGCTTAAAAGATGAATTTTTATGCGAAGAATCACTTTGGAGTTGTTAAAACACTATTTGTTTTTTTCAAGTGCAATTGACCCCACTCTTTTCCTTCTATTCAATTTTAGTCCCACTCATTTTCCATCTGTAGTGCTGTATCAAAATACATATAGATGTTATTTTTTTTAAGGCATTTGGGGTTAAATGACTTGCCCAGGGTCACACAGCTAGTAAGTGTCAAGTGTTTGGTCTGAGGTCAGAATTGAACTCAGGTCCTCCTGACTTAAGGGCCGATGCTCTATCCACTGTGCCACCTAGGTGCCCCTAGATGCTATTTCTTAAATACTTGTTATAAAACTACAGATAGGTCTCTTAACCTATTTAGATTATCGGTCTCCTCACTGGCTTTTGATAGAGAAGGTAGCTCAAGGACTTTTATTTTTTATCTATGCTTCTCTTAGTCACTGAGAGGAAGTATGGTTCAATGGAAAGAACATTAAAGCTTGGAGGCAGACAACTGATTCCAAGAGGTCCTGGCCCCACCACTTACCAGCTGTGTGGTAATGGGACCTCTCTGAGTTTATTTCCCGCAAAATAGACAAAATTATACTTGTACTTCTTACCCCCTGGGAATATCGAAATAAAGACATAGGTTCATAGGTCCTTAAAAGTGGAAAGGGACTTTAGAGATCCTCTAGTCCCAAGGGGTTCTTAACTTACGGTTTATTTTTGCAAAAAAAAATACTTATATATATATATGTATGTATATGTGTATATACATGTATATATATACACACGTATATAATATACACACAAATATATTATACACACATATACACAATTGACTGTATTTCAATATAATCAGTTTCCTTAGTTATCCTACTTGTTTTATTTTCTACATTTAAAACCATTATTCTGAGAATTCCATAGGTTTCACCAGACTGCCAAAGGGGTCATGACACAAGAAAAGGTCAGTCTATGGTCTGTTCTACCCTTTGCATTTTACAAATAAGGAAATCAGGACCCACAGAGATGAAATTATTCAAAGTCATGCATGTCCTAATTAATAGAATTGAGATTTAAATCTCAGGTCTTATAAACTGTAAATACTATGAATGTGAGCTTATGTATTCTTTTCCAAAAACTGAAAGTATCATCTGTGCAGTAATGAAACTGTTGAGTAACGTTTTTGCTGACATGTCAATTATAAAAATCTGCGTTGGGCCTTATCCATGGTTCCATGAAATGTCTCTTTTTTTCCTGCTGTTGGCTATATTGATTATTTTATTAGATCATCATAGCTAGAAATCTTGTTAACAAAATATTGAGAGGGTTCCATTGAAAACAAGGAATTAGACTCTCTAATCTTTTTTAAAATTTTATTATATTTTTAACTTATGAAATAAAATAAGCATTTCCATAATATAGTAGAATAATAAAAAAGATGACTGCGCATGAAACTGCAAATCTGTCTTGTGCATTTTGCTATTCCTTTTAAACATGTGATAAATTTATCATGTAAATTTATTTTTTCCCTTTTTTTTCTTCTCTCTGCCCCGCAAGATGTGTATATATGTGTGTGCATTCATGCATATATGTAAAATCATTCTATGCATACTTCTATTTATCAGTTCTTTTTCTGGACATAGATAGTATCTTCCTTCATAGGTCCTTTTGTAGTTAATTTGGATATTTATAATAGTCAAAATGACTTAGTTACTCAGAGTTCTTAAGACAATATTGCTGTTACTGTATACAACATTCTCTTGGTTCTGCTCGTTTTGCTCTTCATTATTTTATGCAAGTCTATCCATGTGTTTCTAAAAATCATCAAGCTCATCATTTTTTATAGCACAGTAGTATTCCATCACGATCATATGCCACAATTTGTTCAGCCATTCTCCAATTGACAGGCATCCCCACAATTTCCAGTTCTTTGCCATCATGAAGAGAGCTGCTATAAATATTTTAGAACATACAGGTTCTTTTCCTTTGTCCCTAAGTCATTTCAAATTACAGAATCTGGACCAGTAGCCTTGTGTTGAGATCACATATGAATCATAATAATAATGCCATATTTAGAAGATAGTCTTGCTAGAGTGGAGCTTCTCTTCTAATAGACATAACAAAGTGTATTTATTATAATGGAAGGTTCAGAGTTTGTATTTTACTGTATTGCTGAAAGAAAGGGGAAGGGTGGTGGCGCAAGTTTTGGGATAGATGGCTACAGTAATGATATCTGTACTCAAGGAGACAAGCAGGTGGGTTTGGAAGGAAACATAAAGAACTCTATTTTAGACATGTGTTTGAAATGTTCATAGAACTTATAAAATGTTTAGTAGTCATTTCATGACAAGAGACTAGACATCAGGAGAGAAATTAGGGCTGGGTATTTAGGTCTGTAAGTGATTTGCATTGAGATAATAATTAAACCAATATTAGGTAATAAGGTCACCAGGAGAGAATGTAGCAAGAGAAGGCGACCCAGGACACAGCCTTGGGATCTGTGGAGTAGGAACAGGAGGAATTGGGACTAGGAAACAGATGATGATCCAGCAAAGGCTACTGAGAAAAGTGGTCAGTTAAGTGGGAGAAGAACCATGAGAGCATAGTTCTTGGCACATAATCAGTGCTCAGTAAATGCTTGATGATTGATTGATTGACCAATCAGGAAGCTGTTGCAGTAGTATAGGCAAACATGATGGGGACCTGAATTAAGGTGGAAGTTTTGTAGGTATTGAGGAGATAGATTTGAGAAGTGTAAAGATAATGGGAAGGGTTCAGACCTGGGATCCTGGAGGGACAGTGATAATCTAGACAGATATAAAGAAGTTTGGAAGGGGTAGAGGTGGGTTTTTGGGGAAAATAATTCTGTTTTTGACATATTAAGTTCTAGATGCTTACAAGGAATCCAAGAAATGATAATGTTGTAGAACTAGAATTCGGGAGAGAGCCTTAGAAAGAGTAGTACACTTAGTTCACTGGCCCTGCTTCCAGCCTAGAGCATGACACAATCACTGAAGTGAACAATCCTAGTGGAAAGGGGGCCCACCATCCCCACCAACTACTGACCTACCCCTGGTGGGACAGCTAAGCCAGCCTACCTGAAGCATCAAAGCACCATAAGAGAGAGATAGTAAGTGGTATGTGCCAGGAGGGCCAAGCCATCTTGACAACCACCTCCCCTTAGACACTGATAGAGATAGCCCAGAACTCTGAGTCCAAGAGTCTGTAGAACATTCATCCTCTTGTTTCAGCCATTATTAAGGAGAGCAGCTCTTGGGGAGGAGTCCATGATCCCCACCATCAGCATCAGTTGCAGACCAACTACCATCAATAGGGAGGTAAACTCAAGAGTATTGGAAACAGTAGCACCCCTCCTTCCCACCACATACCACTGTCCCTGCTTCCAGGCTGGTTCCTACAGCCATTATCTAGGAGAACAACCCTTGTGGAGATATGGTTTGTCAGTCACTTCTCTGGAGACTGTAGCCACAGCTACTGAAGACCCAGAAAAGAAAATTCTCACCATCAAAATCCTTGACACTGTCAAATGGCTCAGCATCAGAAACCAGTATGGTTTTATCAACTTTTTAAGCTTTTATTTAGTATTTTATTTTTCCCCAGTTACATGTAAAAACAATTTTTAACATTCATTTTTAAAACTTTGAGTTCCAGATTCTCTCCCTTCCTCCATCCCCACCCCCTCACTGAGAAGGCAAGCCATTCTATATAGGTTATGTATGTGTAGTGATGCAAACCATATCCATAATAGTCATGTTGTAAAAGAAAACAGACAAAAAACTCAAGAAAAATAAAGTAAAAAAAGTATGCTTCAATATATATTCAGACACCATCAGTTCTTTCTCTGGGGATGGATAGCATTTTTTATCATGAGTCCTTTGGGATTGTCTTGGATCGTTGTATTGCTGAGAATAGCTAAGTCATTCACAGCTGATCATCTTACAATATTGCTGCTACAATGTACACAGTACATTTCACTTGCATCAGCCCATGCAAGTCTTTCCAGGTTTTTCTGAGAGCATCCTGCTCATCATTTCTTATAGTACAATAGTATTCCATCATAATCACATACCACAACTTGTTCGGCCATTCCCCAATTGATGGGC